AGCCTAAGAGAGTTTTACTGTTGGCCTCAGTGTGTACAGAGTTGGGCCAAGAACAACTGTTTTGAGGGAATCCTGTCCCAAAGGTTTGGTCTTCAAATGGAAGTTATCTAAAAGGTCTTACACACATTGACAGTTGCAACAGGCTGCTGTTCTAGTAGGCGTAGTCCTCTCTGAAGTGGGAGAGCTGCTGCTTCTCTTCCCTAACAACGTTTTTTCTAAGGCTGTGTGCTCTTAACTCTGATATTGTTTAATTTCTATGACTCTTGAAGAAATTACAGGGGACTGGCCCACTCATCCTGACAGAGGAGGAGAAGAGGACACTGATAGCTGAGGGCTACCCAATCCCCACCAAACTGCCCCTGACAAAAGCAGAGGAGAAAGTGCTAAAGAAAATCCGGAGGAAAATAAAGAACAAGGTAAGTACTCATCTGCTTTGCTGGGTAATTCCTGCTCTTCCTTCATTTTAAAAAATGCTGCAGGATTCTGCAGTAATGGTCTATGGTACTGTTGAATGCTGTAAGTTGCCTTTTAATAAAGTGCTTTTCTTTGTTCCTTAACACATCCATCAAATTGTCTGTCGCTGTGACAGTGAGCCTCAGTCTAGGTATTTACCTGAACCCATTAACAATAGAGTATTTAGCAGGCAGGATATCAGGTGGCTGTGGCTTGGCTCCATTTTAAAAACAGTACAATCCTACCCTTATGGCAGGAAAAGACCTCTGTATTCTTTTCATGGTGGTGAAAGTGTTCTTTTCTGTTTCATGTTTTAAAATATGACTGTGCATTTCAGTGCACTAGTCTTTTGATCACTGAATTCAATGACCTTTAAATGAAGGGTTGATACCAAGGTTGTCAAATACCCTACAGTCTTTTTTTGTTTTCTTCCAACATGGGGAATAGTCTAGTAATAGGGAAGTTGCATTTTATTTCTTTTTTTCAGACCTATCCACCTCACGTTTTCTAGAAGATTTTAGCACATCTTTGAAGGTTACTATATTCTATTACTAGTTTTGCAGATAGAGGTGTAACTTTGCCAAGACAGAATTGGAATTTGGTCTTGTATTTTTTCAAATTATTTTGAAGTGATCTTGTGCATTTTATGTACCGCTTTCATAGAATCAGAGTCATTTATATTGGAGGGGATCTCAGAAAGTCCTTTGGTCCAACTCCTGGTTTGGAAAGCAGGGTCAACTTAGAGTAAGTTGCTCAGGGACTTGTCCAGTCATATTTTACTGCCTCGAAGGGTGATGAGTCCCTAGCATCTCTGGGCAACATGTTCCTATACTAGGCCACTCTTGTGGTAAGAACAAATAAATAGAATCCCTAACGTGTAATTAGAATTTCCTTTGCTGCAACTTGTATTTGATGCCTCTTGCCATTTTTGCTGTACACCTCTGACATCATCTTCACTACATGAGATAGTTCAAGACAGCAATAGGATTCCCTCCTTAGCCTTCTTGAATCTGTAGAAACCCAGATTTCTCTGCCTATCCTGAAATGCCATGTGCTCCAACATGCTTATTATAGCAGTGGGCTGCCTCTGGGCTTGCTTCTGTACAGCCAAAGTATTTATTTCTGAGCCACCAACTGTACACTATACTCAACTGTGGCTTTGCAGTCACTGAGCAGAGGGGAAGAGCCACTTCTCTCGACTTGCCACCTACAGTCTCATTACTGTAGACACACACTTGGTTGGCTGCCTTTGCTACAGGGGCACACTGCTGACTGATGTTTGACTTGTTCATCAGGACCCCAAGTCTTTGTCTGCAAAGCTGCTTTCTAAAGCATTTGTAGGCTTTTCCTCTCCTGGATATGCAGGGCATTGTCCTGGGATCATCTTTAGTATTTGTCCTAGGATATTCTCTCCAGATGAATCTGATAACTTTTTAAGGTTAGTTCAGTAAGAGCAGGGAATGATCTTTTTCCTATGACTGAGTGGAGCATTCTTGCTTCAGAATGTGGAAACAGATCAAGTCAGTGCTTTGCTTGCCAGGAATAGAAATGAGAACAGCACGGAGGCCTCAATCTAATGATGTCAGGGCTTTTTACCCATTTATTAATTCATCTCTGATGCTTTTTTCTATGCAAATATTTGGTGCTTTTCTTCCTTTCTCCTTAGATCTCTGCCCAGGAAAGTAGAAGAAAAAAGAAAGAATACATGGACAGTCTGGAAAAAAAGTAAGCCAGCCTCCTTCCTGTTTCAAGCAGGCCAATAGCACTAGTTGTGGGACTGGGAAGGGATCCAGCTGTGGATGCTGGGATGGTTCTGTGCAGTGCCAGCTGCCATCTCGTGGCTGTGACTGAGAAAAGGCCCTGCTGCTGCCTGTCCGGGTTCAGAGCTGTGCCTGCCTGCAGCATGGGGCTAACGTGCCAGCAAAACACTTTACACCTTAAAAAAGGCAAGACCCAGCTGCTGTTGGGCTCTGCCTCCTGCAACTGCGTTGGCCTAGTGGATAAGCAGTGTCCAGGGGAACGTAGATTCAGAGGGAGTGTACTCTGTCTTCTAGTGCAGATGAAAACAGAAATAGGAAGTGGGTGAGTCAGGACTGCCTGGGAAAATAAGCAGGACTCAGGAAAATAGCATGTGACCCATCGACTTCGCTTAGTGAGGAGGAGCCAAATCAGTTAGTGATTTATATCCCAAATTAATCTTTCTTCCAAGAGATGAGTATTCTAGTATTTCTCTTATGCAATTCACCAGATGGTTCTGTTAAAACCCTTGTACTGTCTTTGGTGATATCCTTGATGTAATTTCTGTTTCTTTCTTGTCTCTTTATAGCTGTGTCTCACTTCCTCAGTGTTACTCTTGTGAAATTCCACCTCATGCATACAGATATCAAAGCTATTCCCCTTTACCTTTTTCCTTCTTCAGGCTATTCAGGATGGTCATGTTTGTCTTTCTAGGAGTCATGCATTATTGTGGCATATTATATGACAATCTTCTTCAGTTTAGGGGGTCTCCAGTGACAGTGTGGAAATGTACAATGTCTTGGGAATTAGTCTCCTGGCTCGTTAGCCCTCATAAACTCAAAAATTCAAGATCTGATTTCAGAAGCATGGCATTTGCCAGGTTGCTGGGTGCCTTACCCGGAGCAGTGAAATGCAAAGGAACACCTTTGCACAAAATACTTCCGAACAACATAAATATAACCTGTTCTGAGACTTTTAAAGTGTCTGTCCTATGGCTCAATGCACTTTGAAAGTTTGAGCAGGGTCTTTGCTGTGCTGTTTCATAGGGGCAAAAAGTAGTTACAGCCCATTCTGAACGAGCTGCACCTAGTGGGATATAGTTGAGCCCTGGAAGCAGTTGCTCCACAGCTAGAAGTATCTTTTGCAGTGTCTTTCATACTATGAAAGATTACAACTAAAGTTCATTGGTGTACCATTTAATTAAATGTAGGCAAGATCACAGAGCTCTCTGTGAAAGCAAGTCTTGTTTGCTTTACAATCACTTTAATAAATGACTGGTTTTTTTACATTCCTCTTTCCTTGTGCTGTCTGCAGAGTTGAGACCTGTTCAAATGAAAACAGTGAGCTGCGTAAGAAGGTTGAAGTCCTGGAGAATACTAACAGGTAAAGTGTGAAGAGAATCAAACAAACCCACAGCATGATATTACAGTGAAAAGTGTCTAGAGGTTAAGAGATCAATTGAGATGTGAGCAATAGATGTACCTGATGGGTTTACTGTCAGAGAAAGATGAAGAAAGCAGTTACTGTGACTGCAGTGGGATGTAAAGCATGTAGGCTTTGATGTCATATCTTAAACTGTCTCCCTAGGCTGTGGTGTACTTGAGAAACCTTTTATCACTCTTCTTTGAGTTCTTCCACTGCCCAAGGGAACATAATTAGCGATACAAAACAAGCAGAAAAGTACAGTGCAACTCTCCTGATTTTCTTTATATAGTGAAATTTTACCAGGAGACCTTGACCTGGAACATGACACTTCCAGAAATTATGGTGCTGAAGCTCCAGAGTCATTATTAGTTCCTTCTGCACTACTAGATGTCATTGCAATTATTGTGCATCCTTCTAATGATCTCACACCCCAGAATTTCCTTAATTTGGGGGGGAAAATCACCTTCCTCCTTCTTCATTTCTGAAGAAATGGGTGACTCAGTGGTGGCTTTCTCAAAGGACACATGGCAGAAAATGTTGAATAGCTGAGCTTTTAATCAGATGTTAGCTGAGAGTGCAGTGTCAGTTATGGCTTATGCTCAGTGTGGCAAATTCCAGTGAGTAGGTACTGGACAAGCCCACTCTTAACACCTTCAGGTTAGAGGCATTTGTAGTGATGGTTGACTGTTCCCATTGAACATGATGGTGGCACTGGAGTGTGGGAGGAGGCTGGGTTTTGAAGATAAGACCCACGATCATGGAAGATGGCCCTAGAGCTTATCTGGCAGCCAGTGTATTGCTAATTGAGTGGCATGTGTTGTTTCTAATCTCTGGATCCAATCTCTAATTTCATGGAGCCAGACCCTGTAGCACTTTAACTTGCTGGAGAGTGCCTCCCACACACTGCTCATGCATAAAGACATCTGCTGCTTGTTTGTAGAGAGCCAAGCCATTTATCTGCCTCTTGTATCATCCTCCAGAGTTTTACATAAAAGAACCAGGAGCTGTTCTCTAGATGTGGAGTAGGGATATCTGTCTCAGAAGTGCTGAAGCCACCTTCTCTAAGGAAAGGTGCAGGTGTAGATTATCCATGTGAAGACAACATGTTGTCAAGCCTAGAGTTGTTCTCCCCAGTTCAGGTAGATGTGGCCAGCTGTTTTCTTCAGCTGGTTGAGGATGTAGTAATGAGAACAGCTTTCTTGGTATTGTCCATCCTTTTAGAAAGTACCTTTAGCATCTTCTCTATTATTTGATTATCTTAATTCTTTCATGCTAAATGTTCTGAAAATATTGAGGTGTGTGATATTATCTCCAAATCCTTCATACTTTGGCCATGTGGGATGATTTGCATTCATCTTCCCTCAGCAATGGCATTGATATTGATCTGTAATCTCTTGCAGAGAAGCAGATTTTCCTCCCTCTGCACAGAAATTCCTGTAATTCATGGCCATGCTGTTTTGGCTATTTAGATACCAACTGTGTCTAAAATCTGCAAAGGCTTCAGATTGAAGTAGTGAGAAGACTAGTAAAAGTGCCCGCTTTCCTCAAGCCTCAGTTTTGTAACACACCACATTATGGGGTTTTTCACCTTAACCCCTAAGAGCCACTTTTCTTACTGCATAATTGTGCAACTGTCTCATTCAGAGAATAGTTCCAGGCCCTTGTTTAATGTACATTATCCACATCCTACAGTAAATTCAAAATATCTTATTTCCTCATTGATATTTGCATAGAGCCTTGATGTGACACCCAGAAACTGTTCACATGTTTGAGTACTTGTCTTCTCAGCATGCTATAGCTGGTACTTTCATCTCCTATGTACAATCAGGAGTCAAAGTTCAGAGCAGTGGTGGCCAAAATGACGCAGTGTCAGTTTGTTGTGTCAGATGCCCAAATTTATACGTTTAGGACTATATTTCTTGCAGTGCCTATCAGAGTCATGCACACATGTATCTTACTTAATATGCCCAAAGCAGAGCCCTAGCTGGCTTTACTTGTAACTTTGAGTTTTCATTGTAGTACAAAAATGAATGCATTATTCAAGGTGTTATCTAAAAGTAGATCTACAGACATTAGAGCTGTTCTTTCACTGTGAAAAATTGTAAGAATGGAGGAAAGATAACAGGAAAATAAGAGTCGTGATTACTTGTTTAAGTGTTCATGCATTCAAGTGTAGGTGAAAACAAAGTTGGATTTTTAGCTTCTTGGAAAATTGGACTATAGCTGTTTCCCTAAAAGTTCATGAACATGTGTATGCTGTCAGTCGTGTTTGTATAGTCTGGCTGGATTTGAGAGGAACTGAAGGACAATTTCCAAGTCATACAACTGTTGAACAACAGTCTCCTTTCAGTATGTGCAATCAGGCTTTTAGAGCATGTTATTCTATATATAGAACACATTTGCATAGAAACATACCTAAGACTTCAGGGAAACCCTCCTGGCATTTCAAAATCTGGCTCCAAACCATGAAAACACTAGAATTTTTGAGGACTAAAAATGTTCCTACTTTATTTTCGGTAGCATTAAAAAATTTAGAAGAATCTTCCTTGAAATCCAGCCTTCACCTGAAATTCTGGATCTAAGATGTAATGTGAAAGGTACAAGTGTGATTAAAAAATTGCATCCAGGATCATCTCCCTTGACATTCAGACATCTTAAAAGGCAAAGGGAGGCTGGGGATCAAGATGCAGGGGAGTTTTTAATTCTCATTACTCTGAGTGGGTGATTGCAGCATTTCTGTCAGCTTTAGTATTAGAACACTAGCATATGTTTCCTCTCCTAATTTGTGTGACTCAGTCCCTTAGAAGAAACCCATCCAAATTCCTTCCTAGGCAGTTTTCTTAAAACTAAGGAAGCACATGATTACATGCATATCTGTTGTGTCTTGTAGCCACAAGTGAGCCAGAGGTGTCAGTGTGTGGAGGAGCTTCTAAACATGTGGGGCACTGCTGTCTTAGAAAGCAAAGGGTGTGAGAAGAAGCTGACACCAAGAATTGAACTGACTTGCCCAGGCACCAAGAAGGCTTGATCCACTCACATTTTGGCACCAAGACCAAAGGCAGAAACTGCCAGTGATCCAGAGGGTTGAATAGTCTCTGATACCAGTGTTGTCTAGGTGGGACCTGTGGATATTTGGCCTTAGAGACAGTATTGAAACACACAGTGCTGTTTATGATGTGTTGAAAAGTACTTTTGCTTCTCACTTCTGTTGAGTTTGTGTTAATAAATACATCAATGATCTGTTTTCCTGGAGAAATGACAGACACAGGATCCAGTGCTTATATGGTTGAGAGTGTCACACATTGGACAATGCATGCAAGTAGCTGATAGAGCTGCTCCCATGGAATGACACTAGCCAGCTGTGTAGATCTGCCCTTTGACAGGCACCTTAAAGAATGGCTTTATAAATACAGGTGGGATGTTCTTCCATTTCTCATGCTCCTGCTCAAACTGTTGCAACTCCCTGTCAGCTAAAGATCAAGTTGCATATCAGTGTGACCCACCAAAGGTTTCTCAGCATCAAAGCTGCCACACTTCTCTGATTTGCTTGGCTGTTCCTTTATTTGAGGCTGGTAAAGTCATTTTACCAAATCATTTTCTAGGAGTGAAGGATCTAGATTTAAATTGCAATGAGATATCTTGCACTTAATTTCAGACCACTCTCATATTAGTTGGCAAAGCATGACAGCCCTGGAGTGACCTCTTTGTTTTCAAAGCAGCAGGACACTGGTTTTCATGCTGAAACATCTTTGTCAAAAAGTTGCTGGATAATTTCTTCATAACTCAAATGAGGAAAAATTGTGGATTTAAGTGGTGCTTTAGTGAAAACCTTACTTTGGGTTTTATCCTTTTTCCTACAAATAGGACAGGCAGAGAAGGAATCTCTGTGTAGGGCAGCAAGACAGAATAATTTTTCTTTCTCTTTATCAGAACTAGATTTTGTTTCTCACAAAGTAGGAGCAATGCTCTGAGAAATTGTGATTAAGTGTTTGCTGTCTCTTAGAAGATGTCTTGGTGGGGTTTTTTTTACATCGATGTTGGGTTTTAAACGTAAACATTGAATTCAGGAAGCCTCCCAGGTGTCCTGGAGTAACAAATTTTCTCTCCTTAATCAAAGTGTCACTGGAAGCAGAGGGGAAGCCTTGACTTGTTCCTTGCTTTGGTAGTGAGAGCCTCTTCTAAAGATGAATTTACCTGAATGTGCACATGAAAATAAGACATCACAGGCAGGGTGGATTTGCTGGCAGTGTGTGGAAGGGAGAGCAGGAGTCTTCAGTCACTTTACAGCTTTCCTATGAGGTGCTTCCATTGGCAGGGAAAAGCGTGAAAACACGCTCACACCTCCTACAGAGGTGACCCTCTAATTGAATATCCCTGGGAAATGTGTCAGACACAGTGAAAATAATCCCTATGGGTGCAAACCCCCTTAGCATGCTGCCTTGGGATTGCATTTTCTCCTGCTAGGATTGAGCCATAGGCAATGTGTTCCACTAAAAGCATTCATGGCCTTTCTACTGCCATTTAGAGGGAGCTTCCCAGTTTAGGCTAAGTCCCTGTTCTGCAGGGCAGAGACCTTCTCCTTTTCCCTCTCTTGGTCCAGATCATCCAAGACACTGCAGCTGTCCAGTAACAAAGAAGGTAGCTTTTGCATGGAAAGCTTTTGACTTCAGAATCCTGTCTTCCACTATTCCAGATTCAACTAGAGAATAAAAGCACCAAGGAGTGCCCCATTTTTGGCAGTGGCAGTATTAACTGATATCCTCTCTGATCAAACTTGTTTCTTGCCTCAGTTCTTGCTCATTGTTTGCAAATGCACCTGTGTCTTGTCAGCTCCAAACACTGAGTCCTTATCTGTTGAGAAGAAGACAGTACCTCTGCTCAAACAGATAAATGACTTGGGGAAGAAAGGCATTTTATGTAAAGGTAGTTGGTAAATAAGGTGGGGGATGAATGTTCCTCTGTGTATAGGAGACCTCAGAATACCTGGCTAATTAGACTTTCCAAATAAAGACTGTTTTATAATCAGCTCTCTGGGCCCGCTCTGCCCAACAGGTTTTTTAAATTGAACACAAAAAGGCAGAGATGAGCAAAGTGAGGAGAATTGCCTCTTCTCTGTTGATTTCTTCACCTGCCATTAGCTGTTTTCTCACTGACGCCTCCACAAAAAGTGGCAAGAGTGATCAGCATTTCAAGGCTGCTGCTGCTGCTGCTGCCAGCCCCCGAGCTGAGGAGGAGAGCTCCTTCCTCCTCATTCTGCAGAGCTGTTCTGTGTCAAGCCCAGTGACTCAAGCCTGAAACAGGGAAAAGAAAGGTTTAGTCTTCTGTAATGGCACAGAAATTGCAGAGTTAAAAAGGCATTGCTGTATAACATAGCTGGTGGCACATGGTGAGAATACTGTGTGCAGCATGTTCTGTGCCAGAAAATGATATATCCAATGTATGCAAGTCTCTGTGAGCCCTATGCCATGTTGTGGATGTGAGGAGGAACTCGGGAGGGATGTGAAAGGGAGCAGGGAATTAGGATGGTCTTATTTACACTGTTTAGATGCTGTTTGTTTCTCTGAATTTGCCTGTGGTGTCTCTAATAGTGAATAAAGGGTTGAATTGGGCATATCACTTTCTTTTTTTAAATATTGAGTTGCAGAATAAGCTGTGCTCTCAAGAGCATGCAAGACATCCTTCCTTAATAGGTTGAGAAGGATCTGCTGGCCCAGATAAATCTGTGCTGTGAGAATGCCTTGTACTCATTTCAGAATGTATTCCTGAAGTCCTTGAATTCATTAAACCCTAATTAGCAATGAGCATTCATGATTAAAAAAGTCTATGATAATAGGCAGACCAGTATATATTGAGCTGTGGAGGCACCTCTGGGTCTGTCCTACAATTAGCTTTTTAGCCAGTTTGATCCTAAAATAATCCTTCTATTTTCTCTGACATCCTGACCTTGCCTCTTGCTTTAGCATTTGACGTCATAGCTTCCAAAACTGCTGCCTGGAGTTTTGTTGGGGTTATCCTCCACGATAGATTGTGAGACTTGCAGGAGAAGTGAAAAATAAAGTCGGAAACAAAGAGCAAATTTAACATCTTGATACAAAATTGTGCTACATTTGTGTCGAGGACAGACATTTGGGTTGCTCCTTGTCTGTTAAAAAACTTTAATGAAAACTGCTGTGAAAACCCTGTATCAATCATACTTTGAAATCATTTCCCATTTCAATGACTAATATTCTGACTGTGGTAATTGATGCTACAGCAGAAAAAAATCAACCAGAAAGACAAGAATATTCTGCTGGTCTGGGACTGTTGACTCCAGCCACAAGGCAATTGTCATTGTGGCTGGGACCTCTGAAAGACATGGTGAGAGCAGCCACTTGAAGCATCTGCAATTTTTGTCAACCAGAGGATTTAGCAAATAGCAATAGTTTCACTTAATAAATTAATTTGAGAGATTAAGTCTGTGCCTATGTAAGGTTTTAAGACCTTCTCTTTAATAATGATCCAGCATGTGGTCGCAGCCACAGAACAGGTTTTTGGAAAAAGGAGGTAGTCCTGAACCTTGATCACCAACCAGGGCAGTTACAAACCTGCTTCTGCACCTTTTATTTTTTGCTGAATTCATCACATAGAATCAGGTTGTGTATGCATCTGGTTACTTACATGTAGAGCAGTTTCAGGTGTTAATGTACTTAGCAGAGCCATTTCTTGCAGAAACACTGAAAACACCATGTTTTATTTATAACAGCTTTCTGAAAGTACTAATGAAGTAATTGTTCAGGGACATCAGATGAGAGAAAAGCAAAAGATCTTTTTGAAAGTTCCAGCATTAATGCATGTATCAAACTGTGTAAAATTCAAAACATTCCTTGCTAGTAATTTCAAGGAGAGGACTTTAATTTTCTCTACTTTAAAATAAATGCTGTATTATTGCCACGTGTGGAATTTGAAACAAAAAGCTATTTAACCTAGCTATAGCTTAATAGCTATTTAAGCTATTAACAAGCAGATCAGTGTGTGTGATGCTTGTCTGTTGTCTTTGCTTTTCAGAACACTTCTGCAGCAGTTGCAGAGACTCCAAGCCATGGTTGCTGGCAAAGTGTCCCGATCGTGTAAGGCAGCTAGCACACAGACAGGGACCTGTCTTATGGTGAGTGTCCCTAATGCTGGGAATTGTAAGGGAATGAGAATCTCTTTCCACTGCTCAGAGGCACATCCCTCGTGCAAAGCCTCTCAAATGCAAATTTGCAGCTTGGGAAACTCCTTTTCATGATTTGACAATTAATTTTGAGGTAGCTGAGAATTCTGACTGATGGAGGTTAATACTTGTGTGAAGGCATTAAATTCTGAAGGAGACTGAGCCTGTGCTGTTGATTGGGTGCTGCAGTGATGAAAGAAGGAGCACTGCTCCTCCAAGTGACCCACTTTGTTGTTTCCTGCAGTATCATACGTGGGAAATGAGGTCTAGGGTTGTAAAATGAAAGCAAGGGTGACCTTCATGCTCAGTTCTTTTGATACCAGTAAAAATAAACTTGCTCAACCAAATAAAGTGATGACTGAGGCTGTAAATCTACCTCTGTCCTATTTGACTAATAGTCATCAAGATAAGAAAACGATTAGAATGAAACATTTCCTTTTTCCCTCCCTACACTCAGCTAGCAAGTTCTCTTTATACCAGTACTATAAATTGATGGAAATTATTTTCCAGGCCTAAGCTGTTGCCCTAGTCTGCTAGACTCACTGTCCCATTGAAGCAAGATTGGGACCAGCAGAAATAACCTTAGAAATTCCTGACAGTATCTGTAAAACACACATGGCAGCTTTATCTGCTTTTCAACTTTGTGAGTAAATAAGGCAACTGGTCAGAATGGTGGCAGACACTGAAAGCAAACTCCAGCATTGAAATGTGCCTTTAAAACACTGAATGGTTACTGTATATGTGCCTTTGCTAAGAGTCATTGTATGTAGTGATGAAAATGGCCACAAGTGATTTGTTTTGATAAAGTATCAGTTCTGATGTGTACATACGGGTGAAGAACTTGTGCACTTACCTCTTCTGCATCCTCCCTTTGCCAGATGGTGGTGCTGTGCTTTGCAGTAGTTTTTGGCAGCTTCTCTCAGAGCTATGGGCCATATCCTTCTGCTACAAAGATGGTGTTGCCCAGGCAGCATTCCTCACCAGAGTCTTACACAGATTCCATTGGTAAGTGACAGCTATTCCAGTCTTGCTCCTTGCTTGGTTGTACTTCAGCACTTGTTTTCCACCCCCATTCTTAATCCCTTTCTCAAGGACCTGTTCCTTTTCTGCTCCTTCGCTAGCCAATTTTTGATATATGCCTGTGTTTGTCGAAGAAGGATAATTTGGCAAACTGTGCTGATGGCAGCAGACTTCATAAACAGAAGCAAACCTGTTTCCCTACTAGCCTGCTTGGTACTACTGTTTAGAGAATTTTTGCCTCTGTGGAACTAAAGCTAGTGGTCTGTGATAGGTAGCAGAGTTTCTACTCAGTAGCAGATGTTCATAGTGTTAAAATGCACAACTGATCAGTTGGTGTTTCCTTTGCCAGTGTCAACAGAGTCCAAGGACTGAGTGAGGAACTATAGTATTGCATACCTGTAATGAACCAGTATGTTATCAGTGATGATTTCTTTCTTTTTCTTGTTTTGTGAATAATTTAGGGCTTTTTGATCCCTACCTGGGCCATACCTGTGGTTTCTTTCTTCAGCTATCAAATTGCCAGTTCATCACTACAAAAAGAAAAGTCGTTTGCAGCTTTAGCTCTGCTCTGACAGGTTTCATTTCCTGAAATGACAGAGGATATTCTCTGAGCTACCTGTTTCTTATCCTTTTTTTGCCTTCTGTCTTTGCATGCAGTGAGGTCGAGGAGTCTGCTAATTTATGAAGAGCCTCACCAGCTGGAGGAGTCATCAAGCTCAGTCTCCTTTGCAGATCGCACCGACAGGCAAACAGACACCTCCAAGTACACAACACTGTCCCTGGAAGCCATGTCAGGGACACAGCAGGATGATATCATGCAGTTCACAATAGCCAATGAGACAAGGATAGAGAAGTCAGTGCTGCTGGGCCTGCAGCAGCACAGGTGAGTGCAGGGTGAGCTGCTTGTCATACAGGTATTCTGTGTTACTGTTGTTCATGCCTGAAGGCCAGAAGTAAGACTAGTGGCTCAGCTATGCTGTGCACTGTGAAACGTGAAGTAAGAGTTTGTTTTTTATCTGGAGAGCCTATAGGCAAAGTCATGGTTACTCTGGAGAAGTGGTGGAACAGTATTGTAGTAATACAGCTACCAAACAGTACTTCTGCCAGAAACCTAACCCCTGTAAGCCTGTTAGTTGTGCCTACCTACTTCTTGCAGCACTTACTTGTGTGCCTCCTAAAGGAATAAGCTTTTGCCAGTTGTGTGGAACTGTGAGGTTGTGGCTCACTGGGCTTTCTATGAGGTTAGGTGTGAAGAGCCAGAGCTTCTCACAGCAGTGACTTTACTAAAGCATTACTGTGAAAAGTTTGGAGAACTGTCTTAAGAGACAGACCTGTAAAATTATCTGACTACTTAAGTTCCTACACTGAATTCCTTGGGTTTTTTTACCATAAATGTGAGGCTTTGGGACCTCTGAAAAGAGGGAGATTCGTTGGGTTAAATATGTGTGTGCAATTTTCTTTCCATTGCACCTTTGCTTATCCTGCTGCTGTCCTGTTGGCCCAGATCTTGGTCTCTGCTAAGGAGCAGTAGCAAGCACACCAAACAGTGGAGAGAGGGATTTTGTTTGGCAGCAGTGTTATTCTGAGGGCTAGGATGAGCCATATCACCCTGAGCATGCCTTCTGAGCACTTGTGTCAAACTTATGCCTAGAGCCAAAGAGATGACTAATTGAGTGTGTAAGCAGACTCCAAATGGCAAGTACCTGGTAAACACCAAGTGCCTTTTTTGCATTAGCCAATTCAAGCAGGATATGCACTTTTAAAAATTGCTATTAGCATTAACCTTTGTTGTTTTGTTTTTTTTGTTCCCTACAGAATCAACTCCGAACTAGAAGGAAATGAAACACTGAAGATAATTGAAATAGATAGAAGAGTCAATGCCACCTCTTAAAAATAAAAAAGGCCTTTTTTCTTGACTTCCCTCTTTCCCACATATTTTCAACCAAAGTTCCCCTGACTTGTCATCCTCTGTGAACCAAAGTACAAAAGAGAGGGAGTTCAACTTCTGCATTGACTGATGGGGCTGTGACTACAGATGGGATCTCTTGTCTTTGTAACTCCCTTCCTCACTTCACACACAGTCCCTGTCTTTGCTTTTATTCCTTTTTTATTCCTTTCCTGTCTAATACTGCAAGGGCAGGATTGAATTATGATGGCAGATGATGCCAGCAGTGTGCCAGTGACTGGTGGGTGTGTGTGTGCATATATGCACACAGCCTGATCTGAGCACAAAGACATTCTCTAGAAGAGCAAAATATGCAAAACCAACGGGAGCATGTGGGTGATAGGTTTCTTGGGAGAAGGTAATTGAGAGAGAGAGAGAGGAGATGCAGCATGAAGCTGCTCAGAATCTACCCACAGCTCTGTGCCTACTGGTCTACAGCACTTGAGCCTTTTGTGGGGATTGAGAAGCATGTGTGTATCCTGCTTCTGAAGGGCCAAGAGAGGGACCTGAGGGTGCTGAGTTCACAGCACAGGCAGGATGACAGGTGGGCAATGATGCTGCTGAGTTGTCCTCCCCCAGCTCTTTCTTTTCTCCCCTCCAACCTCTTTATCATTTAGTGGGGTAGGTGTCTCCGTGCATTGAAAGCAGTCATGGTAGGCTTCCCTGCTTCCATCCTTGAGAAATTAAGCAGAGATCAGTCACTGTCTTGTCACACTGTGTGTGGGAGAATTACACTAGTTTAGCTAAATCTGTTTAGAAAGCAGGTTTTGTTAAATTTATGCAATGTTTTAGATGGATGCCCTTTAGTCTGCTTAAGGCTAATCTATTTAGCTTAAATCAGTTCCTTTTCAACAAACTAAATCAATGTAAGGCTTAAACCAGAAGTGCCTCCTGAGAGGATCGTATGGATTTTATTTATTGGCTTCCAGATGCATTGATGAAACTTCTTATGTAGACCCAGTCTCAGATTGTCTTGTATTTTCCTTTCTTTGCCATCTTCCTGTTACTGTTGTAAATAGTATTTATTAGCTTTGCAAAAATTTTGTTCAGGTAGTTGCAGTGAAGAGAGGTGAACTTCCCTCACCCTGCAGTTGATCTGGGCAAACTCTGAAATCAGACACACAGATCTCACTGAACACCCATTCCCTCCTCTTAAACTTGAATTGTCCTAAAATAAAGCCATGTGTCTTATTTCCCTTTTACCTTCTTTTCCAGAGATGTGATCTTAGACCAACTGCTTTGTCAAAAAGCAGTTCAGGCCTAGAGGTGGTAGATACAGATGTTAACTGTATGGCAAGGCAACCTCTGACCTGAGGAGTTGATTATATAGGCAGGAGAGCTGTCAAAAGAGGGATGAGATGAGCACATAGGGAGGTGGAGTGACTGGCCCAGGTTCAGTGGAAAGGCCAAGAGCAGTATTCAGGTCTGATCCTGGTCCAGTACTCCTCTCCCTGCTTTCTTTCCTCCTTGTCCAGTGTTGTTGTTGTCTGTTAAGTGTCCTTCCTCTCTCTCTCAGTGCCCTGGTCATGCCTTTGCCTGAGCTGTGCTCCTTGCAATTTGTCTGTGCAGTGGCATAGCTGAACTTACCCCAGGATTTGAGCAGGGATTTATCTGGTTCCTACAGAAGGGCACTGAGGCTCCACTGAAGATGGATTTTATGTGAAAATCCTAATTCAGCAGGCTAGCATAGCTACTTTACAGTTTACCAGAAAAAGTCAATTAAAAAAAATTAATATTTTGAAGCTCCTTTTTTCTTTTATTTTTTTCCTAATGATAAATAAGGGAAAAACTAACCTAACCTTACAAGTAATGTTTTACTATGTACAGTAGATATTTCCTGCAAGTATTCTATTCTGTAAAATACTGGATTTGTATTTTATTACAGCAGCTGTCACACCAGCTCCTTTCTTGTTCATTCTCCTTAGGCTTTCTTTCTTCAGCATCCTATTTGCCACCCTCAGGCCTGATTCAAAACTCAGTGAAATGAATGGAAGTAATTTGGTGAACTGCAGGGGACTGTGGATCAGTCCCCTCTGTGCCATTTTAAGAAGGTGTTTCATGTTAGTGACAGTGAAACACATGCCTGACTCCATGAGCTAGTCATGAGTTTTGGTGTACAGATGTGTTTTCTAGGTAATGCCCTATTCTATGCAAGTGCCTTTTTAATTATTTCACCTGAGGTGGCAATGAGAGGAGAAATGCTGTTGTAGTCTGTTTTGCAAGTGCTCCCTCCTTGGCATGCGTCAATCTCCACCCTAAAGTCTGTTTCCCTAAACAGTGATCCTGCTGGGCCCTCTGAATCATTCCAGTATCCATCAACAACTTTTGTATGAGTTTTCTTTTTCCACAGCTTAAGGCTTCACATCAACAATGCCCACGAGTGGGTGTCACAAGGGATGGCTGCACTGCTCAGCCACTTGAGGTCAGCAAAGTGACAGGAGAAAGCTGGGACTGACCCTTCCATTATAGTATGGCTGACCAGCTGAGCATAAGGGAGCAAGGTCATAGTTTAGAAAATTCCTTAAATAGTCTTTTTTTCCAGAGCACCCATGGTTTGCCACCTCTGAGGGTAACTGAGTGGTTATATGCTCTGCCAAAGAGGGCCCAAGCTGTGAAGCACAACACCCCTTACTAGTCTTGCAGTTTGCACTGTGCATAAGCAGGAGGCTGCTCTGCCTGAGCTCGTGCCCATTACCAGTTAAACAGATCACCTCCCATTGCAGATACAGCTGACTTCACTGTGTTAAAACCAAACTGGAATTATTTCTCAATTCCTAAAGGACAGATGATTTTGCACAACCAAAATGGCCCTTCTTCTCCAAAACCCACTGCACTGGTCACCGTTAAAACTTTGCCCTTGTTTGCTTGATTTGGGCATGTCAGCTCAAATCTGGTTGGGAGATAGTCATGTTGTCATTCTGAGCATTTTAAACTGGCCACGGTCTGGGTCGGGCCTCTGTACTAATTTATCCAAGCCAGTGTGGCCATACTGATTTTCTTGTAAGCATTTGATAATCCATTTCTATAATCTTAGTTGGTATAATCCTCTAAGTTATTTTTAGGTACTCTTTTGGGGAGTCTCTTGACCTAGCACACACATTGCTTGGGGATTTATTGTATTACATGTTATTTCTTTATAATAAGGAAAACGTTCGCTTTACTTTGGTATGTTTCTGATCATTTTTCTTCAGGGGCCTTAATAGAACAGATTTCTCAGCTAGATATTAGAGGCCAAGGAATCCCTTGTCTTCACCTCCTCACAGGCTGTTGTGTGGCAAGGACCTCACTATCTCCAGAGGTAGTTTGTGCTTGTGTTATGTACCTAGCAGAGGCAGGACAAGTGCCATTGCACTACCAGCCTCAACAGGCCAGGGCTGACCCCAGTGTGAGTGCTGATGTGCTGCAGACCACATGGAGAGGAAGCTTATGTGCTCTGTGTTAAGGGCGTGGGGAAGCAGTGGTAAGGTGCATTCAGGGAGGATGCCAGTATAAGTGCTTTTAATTAGCTCAGCTCTATTACTCGAGGTCTTAGCCTCCTGCCAGTGTGTTTATTTCCAGTGATAAGTGACTTGGTGCTGTAGAATAATGTGTGTGGTAGGACAGGGTAAGGAAAGGCTTTATGTACTACTTAATTTCCATTTCCAGTGGAGGACTTAAGTGATACTTAGAGACCTTGACTCTAACGTTATGCTGCTTGTCAGCACAATTTAAGCACACTAGTAAGCTTACCTTTTGGCCTATAGCTTTAAAGCATGTCTAGGTATGGCTGATCTTTGCTTCTAGGCAGATAAGCTATGAAGGAATGTAGGGCATTATTTTATATATATATATATATATATACACACACACATGTATATTTAAAAAGCATCAAGCACAGAGCATGTGCTGTTTCTAACCTTGTTACCAGTGTGTAGGTAATATTGGTTTTCTTCCCCCTGGGCTATTTATAGTTCTTTGCTGCATTTTTTTTATTTCATCTGTACCATTCAATATTTTTTAGTGGCACAGACTAGTGAATTAGGCTGAGGTTCCTAGGCCAGATCCCAGCTGGTAGAACACAGCATGCTTCTCACATACCACTCTTGGGGGCTGCAGGTCTGATGTATACTGACAGGGGACCTCTTCCATATCTCTCTGTGTAACAATGTATCTCTGTGTAGTCTTGATTTTCCTAACATAGCCTAAAAATTAATCTAAAAATATATTTTTCCCTGCTAAAGACACCAACCCACCTCTCCACTCCCATCCCCCCAAACTATCAGTGGTAAATTCTGTCTAGACGCATTTAGAATGTAGGTCAAGTAAATGAATGATACTAATTGCTACGTTGGGAGGGATTTCCACTGAGTATTTGGGCTCTAGATTCTAGCTAATGCCAAGAGGCCATTGTCTGAAACCCACGCAGCTGAGAACAGAGGAATACAGAGTATTTTTATACTCTTGGTGACTAAAATATTTCTTTCTCAAGTCACTAATTAAAAAGGGAACATTTTGTATCCTGAAGGTGAAATGATAGGTCAGTACTTTGTAGCTACAAAAGTTATGCTAGCCTATATGAGTAGTGTAGTGCTATGATGTGTTGCTGCTTTGCACTATAATAGTGTTAAGGATGAACAACTTTGGGGGTTGCAGAGATGAATTAACTGACTTATGTGTTAAGTAAGGTCTTTACAAATAAGATGTGAGGATTCACTCAATATTGTAGCTTTCTTGTGGCCAATAAAATGACATTGGGCATTCAGAGATATGTTGAAGGTGTGATCCCAGTTAGTACCACATTGCTTAGGTGATCAGTATCCATTGTAGGCTCCAGGAGACTCGGAGGGAAATTGCAATTTGTTTTTGTCATTCAGGCCTTTTTCTGCCTTACCAAGGTGTGTGTATATATATGAATTGGATTCCTGGATACAAAAGAGTGCATCTTGCAGGAAACTCTAATTCGTGATGCTGAAATGGAATTTGGATATTCTTTATTAGCAGTAGTCTCTTCTCTGCCCTACAGCCCATCTCCATACTCTTCCTCCAAGAGCTGCAACTGAATAGGTGAGAAGAGAGCATGGGAAAGCTGGATTTGTAGACCTGTCTTACAGAAAGGGTGAAAGAAATGGCAGGTGAAAAGACTCCTGACATCACAGGGAAACCTTGCAGTCCTTGATTGCATAAATCAGCAATGATAGCCTCTTTCATTCGTTCCCCTCTAGGTGTAGCTTTAGTCCTATTCCCCTTGCTCTTCAATACTATGCAGTCCTGTTTATGCATATCTGCCCTTTGTTGTTGTAGGCCACTTTCCCTTCCAAACAGCAGGTAGAGTGAACTTTAGCAGTCCATAATGAAGGG